TGCCAACCTATCCCTGTTGCTGGATCTCAGCTTTTATTCTTCCCCAACTTGTTTCGTCTATCCCCCACGCACAACCTCCTTCCACGTCCCTAGATGCAGAACTCGATGAATTCTCAATACTTATTAATGCCCATGACCTATTAACTGGACTGCATATTTTCTGGTACAATTTTATGTGAAAGTTTAATCTTAGCAATGTAGAGATTTTCAGAACTTTCCTAACGAGTTGTGACTTTCTCCCTGAACGTAAACAAAGTATCTATACTTGTCCAAGATCAAGAACAAGAAGAAGACAGTTTGCGAGGCCTCTTATCTAAGTTAAATGGGCTTCCATCCATCACGAACCAAAAGCCACAAGGTTGCAATTCAATTCAGCAAAAGAATCAAGTGTGTTAAAAGGAAATCTGAGCTAAGCTCGGTAAGAGGAAGACAATATATAAATATATATATATTTTACAGCATTCTTTTGACACTTCGCACGTACATGCTATCCTCCCTCCCAAAAAAAAAAAAGGGTGTCCAGTTTTTCCATCTCAACCAAGTATCTTAAATTCAAGAAGTGTTCCTGAAACAAAAATAAGGCAATTCTCCTTTTCTTTTACCGTATAGGGTACATCAAACAAGAGAATTAGGGGAAAAAGGGACTGATAGACTAGAGAGCTATCCACAAAGTGAAGAAATTTAACTATTTCCTCACATCTATAGAGGGCATGGAAGTATCAAGCAACAGCTATCTCTTCTACACTGCTGATGTCATCCACAAACTGGGATATTGGTTCCAAATCTATGAACTGGTTGGACTTGCTAGCTAAGTGGGATATGCTGACCCTACCCTCGCGCTTGATGTATTCAGCTACAGCATTCATCTCTTCTTGCGAGATATATATGTATTTGCCTCTATCATCCATGACTCCAGATAGTCTCCCTGAAACAAAATCATCACTACCAAATGATGTAGGAAGGTGGGAAAGAGTGGCAGGACTATTTACTCCTTAATCAACCATTAAATGCAGCTAATAGACACTCTTATGAGAAAAAGGAGGGAAAGCATACCCATATCTTCTAGCGAGGTGATCCGGTTAATACAGTCCTATACCAAATAAAACTCATCAGAAGATGAGGAAACAAGTTAAAACATGTTAGGATACACACTAAGAAATTCTCAAAGTGCCTTTCGATAATTAGACTTAAATATATTCACATTAGAGGTCTTACGCATAAAACAATCTTTAGACTATTGGTACATTATAATTTCTCACAATAAACAGTTCAATTGTCTTCAAGAACTATGGGGCATCAAATTTAAATTAATATAAAACAGGGATTAACTCTCTTTCCATTTTTCCCCTTTTAATGTGATTGACCAATGCTCAGTTAGTTCATCTTTGATAAGCAAGCGAAGTAGTTTCTTAAGTTAGCAGATCAGATTCCTATCCCTGCTATTATAATACAGGTAAAACAGATAGGTTGGCGAAAAGTGCACAGGCCCTACCTGGGTCCGTAATTTGAACTCTGCGGCAAGATCTTCCAATGGAATGCATTTATGATTCTGCAAAATGAGAGAGAAGGATGAGAAAACAGCATTCTTTCAGTCTTTCTCTTAATTCTACATTGCATGTGCCTTTAGAAATTCCTTTGGACTTATTTTTTGAAACAGTAAACTGATTCACTTCCAATAGCAAACAACTCTAACATTCACTGATTCAAATAAAACAGAAAACTATTTTACCATACAAGCTTCCTATATTACCAGGCTAACACTCTGAGTCAATAGTACAGGAGCAGCATGAATCAAACGATAAAAGAATCCAACAATATTGTATTGCACTAGGAAGCACCTTGATGTAATCCACAAAACCAGAGAGCAGGCCTTGGCCTCCATCTTGGACTTCATTTTCTGTAGTACCTTCTGCATCAACTGAGAATTCCTCTTTCCATTTTTCAAATTCTAATGCAGCAGCTTCTTCCTCCTTGGCTTTGCGAGCTCTGGCTTCTTCTTCCTAGATAGACAACGTTCAGGTACTTCAACAGATAAGACAACATTTATCTACTTCTTACAGTCCCACATAATATCAATCAACCAACCAGCTTAAGCTCTTGCGCTTCTCGTTCCTCATCCTTCCTCCTCCTCATTTCTTCGTAACGATCTTGTTTGGTCCGTCTTGACTCACGTGCAGCCTCATCAGCCTTCAAAAGGAATGATTTTCAGAATTCACCAGTTCATATTAAAGTACTAACATGACAGAAAATATTAAAGAACACAATAGCAGAGCAATTAATTAGAAAATCTTTAAAATGCCATTCTATGATGCATTCCCAAGTTCCAATCAATCAAAGACACACTTTAATTCACAAGGAAGATGCCTAATAAATCATTTAATATGTTTTCCTCATAAAACTAGTCAACAGAATGCAAATGCATCATAGCAAGGTAGAGAAATGTTGAATTGTTCACTGAAGATACTTCAAGTGGAAAGGAGAAACTTATTGCACCTGTCTCTGTGCTTCTCTTTCCTGCCGCTTCTTTTCCTTTTTCTTCGACACTTTAGCAGGATAGTATTCATTTCCATCAGCTTCTTCATCACTTTCATCAACAGCTTCTGCATCCACATGTATCAAATAGCCACTTCAAACCACTTTGATAAAACAGTCCAACATATTATCCAACTCTCTCTTTCTTTTCTTTTTTTTCCATTTCCTTTGGAGAGAAAAAAAGAGGGGGGGGGGTGTGTGCTGGGGCTACATCGACAATATTCTCCAACATTATCCTATAAACGAACAATAGGAAACCTTCTACAGTAGCTCCGGCTGACGATGAGCTGGCACCAGAAGCAGCAGGTCTTCGCCGCATCCGCCGAGCTCCACTACCCCTCACTACTGTTTCCCTTTGCCTAACCTAAAAATTATACACCATCACCCCAAATTACAAAATAATTATATGATTAAATAAAATAAAGCCAAAATCAGCGACCAGCACGTCATTAATTCAACCGCACAGATACTAGCAATCAAGCTAACAACAACGAAAAAAATTTTAATATTAAGAAATAAAAACTACTGAATATATTCTGTAAGCTAATAAGAACCTGAGGTTCCTCCTCCTCTCGAGGTTGATCAGGAGACCGAGAATCAAGTCGGCGTTTCCATAGATACAGCGGTACTAAAGCAAACACCAGAAGCATCGACAGAATTGCAATAAATATATCCTCCATTTTTCCAACTATTTCTGCAAATAATTCATCGTAAGTACCAAAAGCAAAACATTGCGATAATGCTCATAGGAAACTGAAATCACCTATGTAGTTTTCGTGCAAATCGATGATCAATAAAAAAAAATATTTAGGGTCAAAGATTGGGAATTTAATCACGTAAGTTGAGAATTCAGCGCAGCAATTAAAACCACTGAAGTATGAGTAAAGATAAAAAAACAAAGCTAAGAAACCTTTTTTTCCCTTTAATTACCTTAGAAAACTGAAGATCTAGGGTCGAAAAAGGGGGAAAATTCCTTCAAATGATCAATTTCGGGGTTTTAAGAGGGAAAAAGGTTTGCGTTTTCTTCCTGCTTATGTGTAATTTGTGAACGACGCATTTGGGACTATGTCGTTTGAAAGTGATCGGTGTCGTATCTCAGATTTCGACTGGAAGAAAGAAGCCGCGACTGGCCCTCTCCGTTAGGCCCTATCAAATGGGTCTCGTGAGTGGGCTTTGAGAAGCTCTGTCGGACCCAAAGAAAAATCCCACTCGTCCGCCTGGATTTGGCTCGCCGAAAAGGCCCCAAATTTTGAAAAAAAAAAAAAATATATATATATATATATATCTTAAAATTTTTTAAGGGAAAAGAATAAATTTATATATGAATTTGAAAATTCATATAAATTTTTCAATTTTTGGGTCATTGAGAGTTAACATCATGTCTAACTATTCACATGCATTTTATGACTCTTCTCATGTTCTTTCTCACATAATAATCATTTTTCATGTGATCTTTTTGATAACAGAAACTATATATAATTAAAGAGTTATTTACATGAAAAGCTTTAATAGATCTTACTTCTCTTCTCTTATGAATAGTAAATTCATTTGCACCAGAATTTAACTTCTTTTCATGAGTGCCAAGATGAGATTTTGATCTATTTATTTGAAAACAGTTTTATTTTTTATGGTGGAGAAACTCATTTAGATTGTCAATTCTTCTTTTCAAATCACCTTATTCCTCTTTGAACATTTTACAAAGGCTTGTTTTTCTATCAACCTTATTTTGTAGATCAATCTCACCCTTTTTTAAGTAATCATTTTTAGTTTTCAACTTTATATTTTTTTGAAAAAAATGTGCATTGTCCTGAAGAAAAAATTAATTTTGTGTTTTAATTCTTTGTTTCTAGTATATGATTCTTTCAAACTATCATGCAATTTTCAATGAAAGATTCAAAATCATCATCAGTTTCATCGTCACTAACTAGACCTCCAATGTTTAATGGGTCAAATTATGTGAGTTGGAAAGAGAGAATGATTATCTTTTGCAATTGATTGACATTGAATTGTGGTTTATTGTTAATGAAGGTCCATATGATACCTCAATAGAAGTTGAAAATACTCATAGATCTAGACCGAAAATAAAAAATGAATTGACTGCAGAAAATAAATCTCATTTCATCTTAAATGTAAAAACTATGAATGTGTTATATAGTGGTTTAGACTCAAATAAATCTATTAGGGTCAAAAGCTATAAGTCAGCTAAAAAGATTTGGGACAAATTGAGAAAAATTCATGAAGATAATGAAAATGTTAGAGAACAAAAAATTTGACCCTAGCTATGAATTTGAAAATGCAAGATTTTATAGTCTTAGATGAAATGTTCATCCATGATCTATCCATGATATATCCAAAAAGCAGTACAATTCTCCGAACAAACCATTAAGAGCCAACTTCGGTGAGGTACTTCTGCTCATGAAAAGCTATAAAATTTGACCTCCATAAAAGTGCGTTTGAGCTCAAGTGAGGAATGGAAGAGGTTAGTTCCTCCTGGAATCTTACTAATCACTTTTATTTCTTCCAACCAGAAGCGCGATGAAGAGGAGGAATACATAGTCCAAATAGACTAAATATGGCATGAAATTATAAGGTTGTAGATCAAGCCTCAGTGATTCTCAATTATATTTGCTAAATATTGTTGTAACTTGACTAATTATGATATGCTAATCTAAAGTCCTTCTGTGTAAGCAACTCCAGTAGATGGCAGCCATTCACCTCCTTGTATAAGTCCAGCAACTGTGAACTTCATAGCCTCAGACGGTTCAGTAATCACATGAAATCCTGTCCAGTTTACTCTCTTGCTAGTGCCTGCACCTGGTCCTCTGTTCATATACTCCCCAAAATACAATGTCTTCAGTGCAAAGTCTCCACTCCATACGGACCAGCCTGCTGGATCAATTTCATCACCAATGTATGATTCTAGGACAGCAACTCTAGCATATTCCTTCCATGGCCTGCCAAGATAGGTAGGAAATGAAGATTTCACTGGTTCAAGGTCTTGACTCGCTATGATTTCACAATTCTGGATTGATGTCCCCGTGTTCTGATTTGGGTCGATCCTCCCCTGTGCAGTAACCATGTTCTTCTGGTCTTTCATGGGCAATCGTGGGACAAGTGTGCAGTTTTGCAATACTACTGCTGCATTGCCAAAGATGAAGTCGATTGTTCCGGTAACGTTGCAATCCCTGTAGAATTGTCTGAGAGAATGGCTGTATAGGGTGTCTTGATAAGCATCAATTCGACAGCGGTTTATGACGGATTGATCTGCCCCAACACGAAGTGCTACTGCTTGATGCTTCTCTGGTCCTGCTGTGTTCTGGATGCAAATGTCTTGCAGGATGAGTCCATCACCAACAGCAGCTGCCAGTAAAACGCGAGATCCATGTTCTTTCATTTTCTTGGTCAAATATTCAATTATGAATTCGTTATAAATAATCACTAAATTTTCAGCAGAATCTTCTTTTGGTACCTTGGGGAAACTCATGAGAGTTCAATTATAACAGATTCACTAATCCAGCTCTAGTAGGTTAGTAGAAGTGACATCAAGTTCAATAACCAGTTACAAGCATGGTTCGCCAACTCGGCCGAGTCCGAGACGACTCGGCCGAGTCATAACCGGAACAGTCCCTACTGTTCCGATACCGATACCCGAAACGCCGATTATATCATATCCGATGTGAATCGCTCCGAATCAGTCGATATTGTCCGAGTTAGAACCGTGTAGAAAGATATCGGTCAAATTCTCGGATTCGACTCGGATATTGTCCAATTTCTCACGCTTTCTTGTTTTCTTTTTCAGCCACAAAGACAAGATTTAGGAGAAAGGGAAGATAAGGGGAGAAACATACCGTCAATTTCTGGGTGCCTTTTGCAGAGAGGGAATATCTTCAGATTAGCAGAGAGGGAAGGAAGGAGACAACAGAGGGTGACCATGGTTATTTGGAGAAGCGAGTTCTTTCTTCATCGTCCTTCCAGTGAAGGAAGGAGAGGAGAAAAACAGAGGGTGAAGGCAGAGGGAAGGAGACAACAGAGGGAAAGGGAAAGCGAAAGAAAGAATGAAGGTGACGGCTGGCTAATCTGGAGCTGAAGCTTCAATTTCTTCGTCATTTGTACTGGGCGAAGGGGTCTTCAATCTGGCTGTGAAAGGGAAATTACCAAGCTAAGGGACGGCTAAATCTGAGAGGAACAACACTAGTGAAGTCAGATTGCTACTTTGATGGTTTGATTCCCAATCTCACTCGGAGGAATCGAGAGCATCTCAATTCTTTTGGCAGTAAGTTTACACGGAGTTGTTTCAGCATATGAAAGGAGCCTAATGACAGAGCTTTGAGAGAGCGGCAACCATTTAATAATCCCAAAGACACCAGGCTCCCACTTTGCCAGGTTTCACTCTCTAATTCCACATTGCGGCAACTGTCACATATTTGGTGGAGAAGCTGGGCTTTTGTACCAGACCCAGAGACAGGGAAAAAAATAGAAGGAAAAATTAGAAGCACTTAAATTTCAAGTTTGGCCTAAGTTCAAGTCTGCATCTTCTTTCAAAATAACTTATCAATTTTAATTTTTTTAATTTAGTATTCAGATGTGATATTTAAATATTTGTAAATTTATGTAATGCATTTTGACAATTTTTACATATTATTAAGTATATGATTAATTTGTATTAGTAGTCTCTTATCTAAATTTTAGTTAGAAAATATATAGTGATTATTTGGATACATTTTAATGATCATAAATATAATTTATTTATTTTCAAGTATCTCAATTATGTTGGTTAAAATGATTTTAGGTAAATTAATTAGAAAAAGGCAAATTTGATAATTTTAGGTAATATATAGTAGGTATTTAGTAAATTTAATTTGATATTTGTGTTTTTAATGGTATTTTCTATTTTTAGTAATTTTTTCAGATTTTTTGGAAATTTTTATATACTATAATGTGTGTATCACCCGATATTCAACCGATATGCCGCGACGGATGTGGAACAACCGAGACCGCGACGCGGCCGCGATCCGCGACGGCGAACCATGGTTACAAGACACTACAAGTCTCAATTTTGAGTAAAAAGGGTACTAGCTATTAGCAGAAACATATCACTTACCAAGAGTGGCAGATTTGAAAGTTGTAGATCCATCAACAACATTGAGGCTACCACTGACAACAGTCAAGTCCATACCATCACCAACAATCATCAGATTCTTTTTCTTCTTAGTCACTTCGACATTCTCTACGTAAGTTCCCTTCTTCACATAGATCACATACCGTTTCTTGCTTTTATCAGGTGCAGCTGCAACTGCTTCCGCAATGGTCTTGTAATCCCCCGTCCCATCTCGTGCCACCACAGCATCAGCTTTGATATCCTCAGCTGATTTCTCCAACAGTTTCCTGTCCCTCAATGTCAGCCATGATGGCGCCTCCCCCTTCAAGGGCTGCATCATTTCTTCCTCATTTGGAGCTGTATGAACTGCCGCAAGCATGGCTAAAGATGCCCTTGCTCTTGAAATTAAGTCTTGAACGACTTCCCCCATTAATTTTCTCCCTGAAATATTAAGCCCATCAAAACAGGTAACATGATTAGTGAGCGCACCACTGAGCCATGTTTGCACATTGAGATATGATATCCTAGTGGTACCGCCGCCTAGAGCCATCATTGAGTCAGTAACACGATCAACGGACAGATCAAGTAGGTCTAGGCAGTCCTCCAAGGCCCCTTGCTCATTTTGATCATTGATCTGATTCATGATTTTCTGTGTCTCCAGAATTGCATGGTTCATGCGATGAACATACTTCTTCAAGAATTTCTTGAGAAGAATTGGCCCATTTTGTTGTGCCACACCATCACAGACTACTTCCGAGACAAATGCTAAACATTCTTGGGGATCATGGGACTGGTGGCATATATTTGGAGAGAGTGATGATAGATCAGAGTGGCTGCTACTGCTGTATCCGATTAAATGTGGATTAAGACGATTAGTAGAAAAGATCACTAATGCAGTAACTACGCATATTGCGATGACAAAGTAGAAGGTTTTGCAGTTTGTTATCGTCCTGTTAGTAGGATTCAACAGAGGATGGTAGGCAGAAGTCATGGGGTCTCTCTACTATCTATATGATTGTGTGATTCAACATGGTAGGTAGCTTGGAGCTTCTTGCCTCTGGCTATATAGCTAGAGAACTGCTACTATGAATATAAATCGCTAGAGATGTGCCAAAGATATACTCGGTTTTGACCAGCTAAATTTTTTCCACATCACATGCCATCATGATCCCTGAAACCTTTCGGAAGACAAATATGGCAAGGGTTAGACAATTTTTCCATTCTCTCGGCTTTAATTAGGAAAATTTCACCTCAGAAACAAAAAAAAAAAAAGAATCTGCCAGAGCACTCTCATGAAAATGACTAGTGGAAAGAAACACCCGACAAAGGTTGATGAATTGATTACTTGAATCACGATATATAATACCCCCTTCCTTCTTTTATAACTGACGTTTAAGATTTTGCACACCAATTAAGAAAAGTTTTCATTGCTTAAATCTGTACACTACTCTCCTTTTGCACTCGCATTAATTGTCCAATTCACCCATATTTTCTCTCACTAGAATACGGAGGGGCAGATAATTACTAGGATTGTTACAAAGAGAGAAGCAATAATTACTAGGAGTAGTAATTAAGAACCCTGTATTGGAAAAGAGAGATAAAAGGGTAAAATTGTGAAAAAATAATTAATATTGTATGGAGATAATAAAACGACAGATAAAAGTACGCTAGAGCAAATTTCTTAAACGTCAATTATAAAAAAAGGGGAGGGAGTATTCGTTAAGTTTCACAGTAATCAGCGCCAAATGCATTATTAATGCCCATAACCATTACAGATTAGCGGAGTATATACGCTATGTTAACTCACTGAACGGTAAAGCGGGGAAAATTTCAGTTCATAGGGTACACGTACATACCCACCTTTAATTGCTGATTAAAAAGTAGCTGATCATATTTCAAGACTAGATTATTAGTATTACTATTATATAAAGAAATTGCGACTTAGGCTCCACCAGTATGCAGACCTGGAAGGCACCATCATGATCGATCCCCAGGAGAATCCATTCTAAGATGTAGGACGCATGTCAACTTTAAGGAAAAGCTATTGTTGGGTTTTGACAAAAATTGGAGAGCACTTGATTGATGGCGATAATGACGAAGAAAAACATGGGAACGCTTTTTTACTTTCATTGTGGTTGGTAGGACGATCAGGTGATAAGGTTGAAAATTCAATGCTCTTGGTCCTTCTACAGTTGTATTCCATATCAAAAATGCATCCATTTTAATTAATTACAATTAATTATCTATGTTCCAAATGGCAACTCAAGAAAGGTAAAAGCTGACCGGAATGCTTGTTTACTGACGCCAACAGTCAAAACATGTTACCTTAAACAAAGAACACACTTAAAACTCAGGATTATTGGTGCAATGAAAACGCCACCATCCCCCCATTCGTGCGATTAAACGCAAGAAACTGTAGATGCTCTTTGAAATCATATACAATCAATATGATGAATTCGGCCGGCAGCAAGGGACGCTGGAACCGGATCCCAGCTTCAATTTTTTCGACTCGCTGTACCTCCCAAGCATAATCACCCCAAAAACCAGTGTGGTTAGACCCGAATCGGATCAATCAGTCTGATTGATCCGATCGTGAACCGATCTTCTTTTCGAATTGGTTTATAACGCAAAACCAAAAGTAGATTAAAGCAATGATCCGATTCGACTGATTAACCCAATTTTCAAACTTTTTTTTTTGTTTTCTCAAAACATAATTCGAGTTACTTAAATTATAACACTTTCATTTATTAATAGGAATAGGAACACCGTCCACTTAGTATAAATATCAAAATTACTCGCTTTTCTGAATAATTTCTAAATCAAAATATTTTCATCTCTATCATCTTATCAATTTAGTATCACTCATTCCAACTCGTGTTAATTTGTTTCAACTAAGTTTTTCATGTAATTTTAAAGAATAGACATATTTTATTCATGAATTTATATTTTTATATATAATTATTAGATGTATATTTAATTGCAAGTCTAATATTTTCAAAATATTTCGTATGATTGGCTTATTGTAACTAACAAGATAATTTCAATATTTCTGAAACCTATAAAAATATAAAATAATTATGACATCACGATGATATCAATGAATTTTCGAAAACAGTTCAACCAATCCGACCAATTGATCCCAAATTCATTTGTTTAGCCGAGTCACCCTCCAATTCAAGTTTAACAACATTGTCAAAAACTTTAAATTTTTCTTTGGTTCCTAAATTCAAAATTTTCAAGATTTCCTTTGGAACATAAAATTTCAACCTACAGAAAGTCGAAATTGAAGAGGGATGAAAAAATAAAAGGGACCATGAAAACACAACGATTAAGAACTGCGAAGCTCCAATACCACTTTTTCACATACAACTTTCAGCTACATTGATAATCATCACGTCTATAGTCCCAGAAATTTATTCATTCGTTTGAAAGTTGCAAATCTCCAAACCCATCGCTCTTATTTATATACATTACTACCTCTTGTTTTCATTCATTCATCTTTAGTTCTCTAGTGTTCTACACTCAGGCGTCCACGGTCTCTGAAGCATCAGCGGCAGCAAGGATTAGCTCAGGGTGAATACTTCCCGCATATGTTCCATCTAATGCGTTAGGCAAGCCCAGGGACCTCAATGCAAGATGAGCCGCCTTCTGCCCTGATATCATCATGGCTCCGAATGTTGGCCCCTGAATCATCACAATGAACTTAATCATGTATCCTAAACCTTCCATTGAAGGCCAAATTATTCATCACTCTCATAAAGACTAGAAAACAATGATGCTTCATCAAAGTTTGAATTTTGATCCAGTTATACTTGATTTATAGTAAAATGACCAAGATTTACATACCATTCTTGGTGCTCCATCAATCTCAGCAACTTCCATACCAGTGACAATCATCCCGGGCACAATTTCTCTTGTGAGCCTCACAATTGCATCCTCAGCTGCATTCATGTCCAACGCTTTCATGCCAGGGACATTTTCAATCATGCCAATACTCTTGAGCCTCTTAACACCAGTAGCACCAAAGGGGCCATCATGCCCACAAGAACTCACCACAACCTTAGCCTCCACAACATTAGGATCCATACAAGACTGTGTGTCATGGTTCATTGAAACCAGAGCCCAATTGGTAACCACGCCCCCAACTCTACTCCCCTTCACTATCAAGTCCTCTGCTGCAACAGCATTGAAGAGCTTCACATTTGGCCTAGCCAAAAGTTTGCTCATGATGGTTGAAGTGAACAAAGCTGCATGTTTTATCACAACGTAATTGTCTTGTTCATCGTAGTCAACACCAAGCTCATCAAGGAAAAGATGTGCCGGCTTCCGGACAACCATAGCTGAAAAGAGTTGTCCGCCTAGCCATGCACCACCACCAGGGCTCACGGATTGCTCAATTATGGCCACCTAAATGTACAGAAGAGAACAAGGACATTAACAAACCAAGATCTGCTTGTAAAGATAATTAATCTAGCTAGAAAAATACATAATTTTCGAACAGAAATATCTGGGACCATATCTTTTTTTGATATATACGCAATTGCATAGAGCCCATGCAAAATTATACAGAGAACAACCCTGCACATGTTTTGGACAAACACTAAAATTCCGTTTTAGTCAAAGGAACATTTTCGTTTTTTCTTTTCCTAGTAATATTTTCCACTTGCACAACTGAATCAGAGAAAAAAAAAAAGTTGGCAAAAATCCTACTGCCATATGCTAATTTTAATAAAGTAACGAAATGATTATGAGAAAACTAGGATTTAACTCAAAAGCCAAAGTCCCACTAGGATAGTAGGATGATGAAACTGAAGGAGCATTAAGTGCTTATGAGATAATCTCAAAATTGCAACTTGTATCCGATGAATGATATAAATGAGCACAAATAGCCCAAGATGGAGATAAATCTTGATTAACAAAGAGGGATATTATGGGAGGTTAATTTTATACGCAAAGGAGAATAGATGATGAACACACCTGGACAGAAGGATTCTTGCTGAGTTCATAAGCGCAAGAAAGTCCAGCAGATCCAGCACCAACTATGACAACATCAGTGTCAGCATAGGTGATCATGTCCATCATGTACCGGCGAGTCATCTCACGAGAAACGATGGATTCTTTGATGGGATCAAACGTAAAAGATTGGAGATCATAGGGGGGAGTAGCCGAGGCAGACATGGAGATTAAGGAGGAATTTTGCGGGGTTGATTTAATTGGCTGAAGATGAGGAGATGAAGATACAGGTAGTCCATGGAAGGATGAGCGGGAATTCCCAAAGAGAGTTGTTCTAGGCTTGGATGAAAGAGTGGAGGTGAAGGTTGCTGTTGCCATGCTTGCCATGGATTCACACACAACTGGAAGCCTGAATTTACCCCAAGCAAAAACCCTGCCTGCCTGCACTATAGTTTGACGCTTCTGAGTGAGGATCACTTTGGCTGTATCGCCTGCAGGAAGATAGGGATTCGTTTGTATTGGTATTATTTGGAGTTTCTCTAGAAAATTAAACTGTAGCAAACTAGCGATGGATCTGTTGTAAAAAAAAATATAAATATATACTATATCGTAGCAATTTTACGTATATAAAATTAGAGGGTGATTGAATAATATATGCATGAAAAATGTAAGAATTTTTTTGGAAAAGATGCAATCTTGACAAGGTCGCCCTGAACAGAACAAGTACACTTTACGGAATAATTGATGTATGGAATGATTGTAGTAATGAATATTTGAGGATTTTTTAATGGTTTAAAAAACGAATTACGTAAAAATAAAAATAGTGTGCTCTCACAAGTATGTATCCCGGATTCATAGAATGTGGCCATTTCAGTCCAACACGTAGTAAGTTTAGGGAGGGACTTAAGGCCTTGTTTGAATTGGTAATTTTTTGTTGAAAAATTACGTCATTTCGTAATTATATTTTTTTATTATTATTTTTCTTTACATACATCAAATCGTTACAGTATTTTTTCATGAAAAATTATGAAAAATGCAATCTAAACACAACCTAAGTAAATCCCTTCTTGGGCTGTTGGTGAGGATTCAAACCTCACCAGCAGCGAAAAAAATCTAAGAGTTGTGCCATAACACTCCTTTGATTTAGTTGGATCTGTATACCCACTAATCTCTACCATAGTCTCCTCAGGCTCTCCCTCCCCCCCCTAGATTAGGATAGAACAAGTTATACAAGCTAACAAAAAAGAAAAAAGGGGTAGGTAGACGCGTCACTATATCTGTGCTTGGATTTTGTCCTTTTTTGCATGCATCACGTGACACTGATTTGCTGTCCATTTCTCGTTCAATACACTTGTGAAGATTTTGTTATTGTTTTTTTTTTTGGTTGAAGATGTCTTCTTGTGACGTTCAAGCATGCACTAAAGTTGATCAAAGTGGAGTAAAAGATTATAGAAATATTTTATGCTTTTAGAGCCGTGATCCAAATTCCAAAACAATTGAATCTAGAAAAATTTCACTCCGTCCGTCGATATAATCTGCAATTACGGAGTTCCTTCATCCGCTGGGAATCACACACTTTTTTTTTCTGATGACCTAAAAATGCGCTTAAAAAGCATAGCATTTGCCACAAGGTTAGAAAACGCGGGGCTTAGTATCGTTTTTGTCTTTAAAATTCACTCTTCGCCCATCAACATGATATGTCAAGGTAACAAGCCCTAAACACCTTTAACATCAAGAAAGATGATGATGACGAAAAATTACACATTTGTGTTCGGTCCCGCAAGGAAACACGACAGCAGGAGCAAGGATGACCAAAATTGAGCTTCTCTCACCTTGGCATCGCTTTCCAGTTTAATCGCTTTTTTATTGGGTCGACCCATCACTTTCCCCCATCGCCCTTACCTTATCCTCGTGGTATAGTCCAGCCCATATGCCATCATTGGTTAAGACATTGCCGGGACTACGCCTGCTCATACTTTATTGGCTATTCTTCATTTTCGTTGCATTTCTGCTGTCAGGAAGTGGTACTCGTGAATCCGATCACCATATTCACTACGCCACAGTGTGAAGTTTCAATGCAATTCAGCCATTTTTGTCGATGGGGAACAAAAGAATCAGACCCTCAGGTCGACGGGGAAATTTAAAAACAGAAATGTCTTTTTCTTTTATTTGGTTCGGAACAAGAAATACTTCCAAAGTAGCTTCAAATCATCAATGTCATCCTTGCAAGGAGCAAACTTACACAAGTGAATTGTCCATCGGTACTCAAACAGGCAACGAGGGGAGGTGAGTTTCTTTCCACCCACGTAATAGCAGATTATGGAGAATCAGAAACCAAGACAAGACAAGACAAGACTGAATGATGTTTGCCAGGCACAAGTCACAATTATTTAGCATAAACCTCGGAAATAAGAAGCATCCCATCACAACAGCACACACTGCATACATATCTAACCACACCATAAAATTTTTCAAAGTTTACAATAGCATATCAGATACTACTATACGCTGGCACTGACACCCGATGAATGCACACTGTCTCACTTGCTGTTGGCAGTTAAAAACCATGAATCTTTATGTGTTCCTTCTTTACGATCCCAGCCTGTTCCAAGAAAGAAAACATCACAACTTTATCCGTGTTCAAAACTTCAATAAACTACAGGATCACAAGTTGTTATATGCTCTGTTGAGCCTAAAGGCCATAAAATTCAAAAAGACAAAAAGTCAGCTGGAGTGTAGAAAAATGACCCTCAAAAGAGCAGGAAAAGGAAGAAATCATATGCCCACCAACCCAACAAAATTGCTCCGAGTCATAGGCAATAGCATAAATAAATCAATAACCTACGGGAAATGAAAAGATAACAAGGGGGGAAGAAGAAGAGGCGAACGAAAATGGCACAAATTAAATGCTTGGGCTTTGGAAAGACCACCTGAACAAGGAAACTTGAAACATTCTTACGCTGATCCCCTTGGAGTTGAATGACCTTCACAATAACGAGAAAATTTACAGATTAGAAGAAATATCCGGTTAAAAGCCACATCTATCCTATGCAGTGTCAATGAAACAGACCTGGCCTAGTTCTGGGTCTTGGACAACAGTACCATTGCAGCAAAACTCTTTCTTGAGGTCCTTCAGGATTTTATTGTAACTGAACTCTTTGTTCAACCCTTGCACAGTAGTCAGGCTTTTCCTACCATTACGTTGTTGGATACGGATATGCACATAATCCTTTGACCCAGCACCCGAGTTATCAGCATTGGCCTCAGCAAAAGGGTCTAAAAAAGCACCCCATAAATTATGTCAACAGCATAGCAAGGCAGAAAGGAAGAATTCTAGATTTCCCTGCCCAAAGTTTATTTAGTGGCAACACATAGGCAGCTTTTCTATTGTACCATATCATGTGTTTTTAACTTATATACAACTACTGCCTTGTCGCTTATGTACCAGAAACAACACAACAGGATCAGAAAAGTAATTGTGTTCTTAAAGAAACGAAAATAAAGGTGCAACATACCAAAAGCAGCTGGAGTCTGGAGATCGAATTCAGACATGAAACTTTGCTAACAGATAAAAGATGCAAGTGACACAAAAGATCTGCTAACGGATAAAAATGTGCTCAGACCTACATGAGAGGATAAGTGATACCATCAGCCAATAGTCAAAAGGACTAACTTCAATGCAATAACAAAAGCCAGATAAGTAAAGTAATTAATTTCAGATTCAATTTCCAGATTCCAAATATGAAATTTACAACACGTAACAAGCTGTTTGGTGAGAAGATGAATTTATGGAATTTCCCCCATTTCATATCAGATTCCTGTAACTTGTGTTATCTTTAATTAGAAAGTGAAAACAGAATTAGTAAAGCGAAGGGTGGATAGAAATCTCAAACTAATTACCCTTTCTTATTTACTTATATCTTGACAAATGGATCAACAACCTTAAACCTACCACCCACAAGATAAACAGATACAACCAAGATGAGGATGCTAGAAAGTTTACATTGAAAACACCCAATAGTAAACAAAAAACCTATGATACTCACAGGGTATCCAAGAGGCATACATATTCAAACACCGAAATCCAGAGGGTGAGGCCAAAGATCATGTAAAGAAAATCCACCAAGGGAATCCTTAATCAGTATTCATTTACTTAGTAGCAGAAAACGAGAGATCAAAAGGAAAGCTGTAAGCTTTCATCCAACTTTACATCTACATCAGCAAATAACAAATCTTTTGGCAATTAGCACTCCTAAATAAACGATTTTAAGACCTAATTCTCTCAAATAATCTTCCGAGATGATAACCAAGTCTGAAAAGCAGGAATCTTTCCAACAATTATCATTGATCAAACCTTTTACGAGCCTGATCATTCAAATAAAAGGAACAAAATAACCCAAATTACATAGTAAATCATGCAAAACAGACAACCTTGAACTTCTTTAAGGGTTCTTCCAAAATCCTACTGAAACTCTGCAAACGACAAATCTTTAGACCAATCGTGACCAAAGAAACCGTTTTAAGCCATAAATGAAAATTTGAATTCTTACGATTATCAAAGAAAACAGTTGTAGATTCTAATTCTTCAGGAGAAAAGTAGCCCAAAAGCACAAATTAGCCAAACAACCCAATTCTAGCTACCAAAATAACAATTTTATAAACAAGAAAAAGAAACCCATCGCAAAAAAATAATAATAATAATAACAAGAAGGTCAACAAACTAATACGAGACACAAGGGGGAAAAAAATCAGACCTTTAACAGATAAGAGACCATAAAAAGGGTTGAAATTGCATGGATCTAAGAAGATCAGAAGAGGGCAGGAGAAGATACCTGATCCAGAAAATTGGGGTTCGGGTCGGGTATGATCAAGGAAATCGAAGCAAACCCCAAAGTAATCCGGACGAGGGTCTGAGCTGATAGAGGAAAAGCGATAAAGTCAGTGCACAGGAGAAAAAGAATAGAGAGAGGGAGATGGATCTGGAAGGCTATAAAGACTTATTATGGTGGGCCCCCACGTTGTTAAAAGTCAGGTCGGTCGCATACCAGCCATCCATCCATCCATCCGTCCAAGGTTTAGAGGCAACGAGATTCATGCCCTCTTCTGCCCTTAGCCCTAGGCCTGTCAACGGGCCGGGTTCGGGCCGAAATTAATAAATCGAAACCCGGACCCGTTATACTGGATTAATTTCGAATTCGGCCCGAATACCCGACGGGTCCTTGTTATTTCTACCGAACCCGCGGGTCCCAAATCCTTTTAGTGCCCAGATTGTTAGCATGGGCTATCGCACCAAGATAAGGCGACAATACGGTATTATGGGAGGCTCATGCCATGATTGTATCCTTCATTTCTGTTGCGAGCGTTGCGCCTTGTGCCAAGAGTACCGTGAACTTCAGTTCCAAGGATATGATGTTTCTGCTGGTATGAACATTTTGCTGCCCATGTCCTCTTCCAAGGAAGCACATACCTGGTGCGGACTACGGAGAGGAAAATGTTTGTGGGTCGCGGTCTTCTTCAATTGTTCACCGGAAATGAGGAGAGAGTGAGACTGCAACTCTGCAAGAGCTGGGCTTCCTTGGAGATGGCCAGATCCGGCGGTTTCTTTGGAGCTGGAGATGGAGAGAGTCAGACAGCGTCGCTGGTTTCACTTCACTGGCGTCTGGACTCTAGCGGAGGCGGCGGACACGGGACTACGGGAGGCAAGGCAAAAGAGAAAAGAGTGTGAGGGACTGAGGGGAAGAAACCAGAAGGGATGTGCGGTGTGCGGCGGTGGGGAATGGGTATTAGGGTTAGAAAATTTTGGAAATACATATGAATAATTATGATAGATATCTATATATTTTTAATTATTAATTAATTAAAACGGGTTCGGATCGAATACGGGTCGGAATTGTATATTCCGTATTCGACCCGCAATTTTATTAGATAAAATGGGTCCGGGTCGCGGGTCTATATCTCTATCCGTACCAGGAAAATATAGACGGGTCCGGGTCCGGGCCGGGTCCGAGTTCAGACCCGGACCGTTGACAGCCCTATTTAGCCCACATAATATAATTATGAAAAAAAGAAAGAAAAAGAAAAAGTTGGGTGGGGGCAGGGATGTCATTACACAAGATGAGGGTTTTTTCTTTTTTTTTTCCTTTTTCTTTTTGTTGGTTAAAGAGGGCTGCTAAAGTTTCAACTAAAAACCAAAAAAAAAAAAAAAAAAAGATAAAGATATATGGAAATTATGCCTCAAGTCTTAGGACCCCATTCCTGTGCAAGTGTCCTCTAGCTTACTTGAGTGTTTGATTCGCAATCATAAATAGTTTTATTTCACATACAATTTATTAACATATCTAATCTATGCGCGAATGTCGTTGTTTTCAATTAAATTCTAATTGCTGACGTGGCGCGCTGGTATTGACTAATTGATGGTCGTTCGGCCCGTACGAATTTCCAATTGATGGTCGTTCATTCCTACACGTTAATTCTTTTGTTTGCTCAGACATTTAGCAATCCTTTTGTTTCTTTGTTTGTTGTTTGTCGGGACTTGATAATTTGACAGCCTTTTGGGGATAATTAAACCACTTCCTCTCTCCATAACAGTTTTTTTTTATGGGATTTGACAGGGAGTTGGGCTCGATGCAACAAAAGTCTCCTCTTTCCCTATTTGTTCATCGACCGTCACTCTCTAAACCTCTTAGAGCAACTTTTTCTCTTCTTCTTCATCTTCCACCTGAGAACAACAATGACCAAGATGGTTTTCTTCATCTTCCAATTACTGGGAGTTTTGTTGGCTTGAAAAAAATAAGAAACGGTTTTTTTCTCTTTCATTTTTTCCATCATCGTCTCTCTTTACCTTATCTTCCTCTTCATCAATTATCCCCCCATTTCTCTCATCTTCTTCATCTTTTTCTTTTCTTTTCGATTTTAACTGAGAACAACTACAACAAGGAGGATGGTTGGGATTTTTTTTGGGTTTGTAATCTCTTCTTTTTTCTCTCTCTAAGCATTTGGATCTTTTTTTTGTGGGGGGTTTAGCGGTCAAATTTTTATATATTAATTTTTATATATCTTTGCTATTGCAGGTGCAAAAAATTGGAAATGTCTTTCAGCCTCCAGCATCTCAATGAGAGTAAGGTTGTGTAACTTTTTCCCTTTTTATAAAGTGAGTCTCTTTTGTTTTTCTATTTCCTTCCTAAGTTACTGCCTGATTTTTCAGCAACTGGTAGTGGAATCCTCTGGAATGTATATGTTGGAAAAGCTTTCAGGTTAGATTTTGAGATCTAAATAAGCCTTTACCGTCAAGATTTTGCATAAATCCTAAGGTTAGAATTTTGGAACCCCATCTCGTGTCTGGATGTTTTAACTAATATGCTCCAAGAAATCTAGGATTTTTCAGAAAAATATGGAGTGTCGTTTTATGTATTTGTATACATTGATTTATTGTGTTATTTGTTTATTTGTTATTGTTAGGGTATAGATGGAGAATTAAGAGGCGAATTTGACAGAAAATTTGCAGGCTTGGAGTGAATGGTTCCAATAGAGCAAAACGAAAGCTTTCCAAATATCATATGCAAGGGTCCTCTCTCTCTCTCACACACACACACATAAAGTGTGCATTTTTATCTGTTTAATCCACTATTGATTAATTAAGTTTCAAATATGAAATATTTTTATTGCAAATATCCTTATCTTAGTATAATTTGCTCTAAATTACTGGTAGTTTAAAATGCTTGAAGTATAATTTTTTTGTATTGAAAAATTTTGAAAGTAATCTTACTTGATGGTCAAAGTAGAACCATACGAGGCCCTGCTGGGGTTATTATCAATGGTTTCTTACTACAAGAATTTTTTTTATATTGACGATATTGAGGACTCTTAAATGATAGGAAAGGTGGGTATGTGATTTCTGAGGTATAAAAATTGCTAATGAATCAGGAAATCCTGAAACAAGGTCTCTGACCCTAGGCTTGAGAAATCTTGAAGGTTTCTGAACTTCCTCATTTGGCTTGCCTCTCCGTGTTCTGTAATTTTGTTTTTCGAAATTAGTGATTCGTATCATTTTTATACTGTAATAGCATCACAAAGAAAGTTGCACTTTTTCTCTCTTGAATTTCTTTCTGATAGACAACAACAAAATCAAAAAGTTGGCTGGAACTTTTTTGCTTCAAATACTCTCATTGCTTCATTTTGTCCAAAGTATCTTTATTAGTCTTTTAGTTCTTTTTTTCCTACTATAATTTACAATTTTTTTCCCTTTCTAATGGACATAAACAAAATCAAAAAACTGGCTGGAATCTTTTTTACTTCAAAAACTCTTCTTACTTCTTTTTTCTGAAGCATCTTTATTAGCCTTTTGATTTTTTTTTTCCTCCTATTATTTACCAGATTAGGTGTCTAATTTTTTCCCTTTTATTATGTTGTGATGTTGTAGGTACATAATCTGGAAATTTCCTCCACCATCTTCATGCGGTTTTCTAAGCCTTGTTTTTCCCTTTCGAAGGTAAATTCTATAAGGTTATTTTCTAAAAAAGGTGTATTCTTTAACATTGTTTCTCATGTTGAACCCTTTCAGTTTAAGGAAGAAAATAGAAAAAGCATATCAATGTTCCTGAAATAAATCACATGCTCTTATTTTTTTTCTTTTCACATTTACATGCATATTTTTCCTTGGCCTCGTTAGCAGAATATTTTGCGCTATCTCGTTCTTTTGGCCGCTTGGCAAATTGATTCGATAATATTCTTAAATCTTAACTGAATTCTTTTGGCATTTAGGAAGCTTCATTTTATTTTCTTAAATTTGTTTTCTAACAACCTTCCATTCTTTGTTTGCTCACTGCATATTCAAATGCAGTTTATTTTTGTATGATATTGTGCATTTTTTTTAATTCTTCTTTTTCCTTTGCTTGCATATAGTTTTGGGATAATCTGTTGTTTATACATTTTCCCTTTTGCTTGCTTTGTTTGTAAAACCTGTCATTCTATAACTCTTTAAGGGCCAGATTTTTTTTCTTCTGATAGAGTTGTTGGACGATAGGCTCAAGGCAGAAAAGTGGCTGGTAATCTCCCCCTCTTTCCTCTATCGATTTTTCCCATTTCTCCCTCTTGTTATTCTTCATCTCCTTCCCTCCCTCCCTCGAGTGATTATAGCTAATTTTTTCTATTTTTCTGCCATCTTCTTGGCAAAAAACAATCAATTTTTCTTTCCTCTTTCGTGTCTTTTTCAGAAACAGCGAGAAAGGGAAGTTCAATATTTTGTCCCGACTATCTATGCGAATTTGTAGAATACAGATATGGTAATTTTTCTTCCCTTTTCTTTCTGTGATTAATGTATTTGTTGCATTTCAGTTTTTTATTTTTAGTTCCAAGAAAAACTTTTAATATGATCTAAGATGGTGAATAATTGATTATTAGCTAGCTTTTAGATATTTATTTACTTTATTTTTTGTACCTACTTGATTTTTATTTTTCTATTTTTCTTTTTCAATTTTGCCTTTCTTGGATTTCTTCTGCAGCAGGGAGGAAAAATGACCACCCGTGAAAGGCAACTGCTGTGGGAAAAATGTAAGTTTTGTTTTATTAGTCTGATTTAACTTTTTTCTTTAAATTGCTCTCTTCAAACCTCAAATGATGGTATGCTTTTCTTATTAGCCATTTTCTTTGGCATTTGCTCTTTTCGAGTTTTCTTTTTAGTCATTTTCTTGTGTCTTTTGTGCAGGTGTTTTGTTGATCTCCTGCTCAAAAAAAGCAATCCATATGGTAACTAAAAAGATTCGCTTGTTTAAAATAGATTTTTTGATCTTTAAAATGTCTTTCTATTTGCTTCAGTTCTTCCTGTTCCCTTTTCTTCATTGGGTTTTCAGCACTTGATGAATATACTTCTCCTCAGGGAATCAGGAACTTCCCTGTCAAGTTAATCATTGATCAAAATTTTGAGTTACACTAGCAGTACCTATTATCTTTTGCTTGAAGATGATTAATGCAAAAGATATTAAAGCCAAATTTGTAATCGAGGCAGCTAATCATCCTACTAATCCAGAGGCAGATGAGGTTAGTATGGAGGTCAAAAGGCATAGTGTTTCAAAGCAAAAATAACATGTGCAGGGAAGCAACTTAACTAACCTTGGCTTTACTTTACAGATATTAACAAAGAAGGGAGTTGTTATACTCCCAGACATATAGGCAAATTCCGGAGGTCTTACAGTCAATTACTTCAAGTGGGTTCAGGTATCCATTTAGCCCTTCATTTCATAATAATCCAGAAAACCTCTGGTCTTAGTTCAGCACATGTAGTGGTTTTTTCCTCACAAAAAAAGCATGCTATGTCTTTGTGTTTGTTTTCCTAAAAAATTTTCTAAACTTCTCAATCACTATATGGAATGCAAGTCATGGTTTTCTTTCTTTTCTTTTTTTATCTCTCTCGTAAGGATTTAGCTGACTTTTTCAATATATTTTTTAAGTAGATTATGTTGGACTTGGAGAGATGGCCGTGTTTTTCATTTTCTTTCTTCAAGTGGAAGATGATAAAGAAGATTGAAGACGAAATGATTGTGATTTTAATGGATGTTTTGACATTATTTTATTCACGAAGTGATTATTAACTTAATAACTGTTTTTACAGTTTTCTTTTTTATCCCTATTCTAAAACTTGCTTCTTGTTTTAATGGCAGTTATGTGATAGAAGAAGAATGAACAACAACTATTGGTAGGTTTTTCCTTTTAGTAATTTCATGTCTTTTCTTCCATGCAAAATGTTTGTTAAACTCCTAACTCACAAAGGGTATTCCTTATGGCTCCCTGGGTTTTTAAGAACTAGAGAAGTAAGCATTTTCATGTTTGTTTCTTTTTCTTGTCTCTTTTATCTTGTGCTTCAATTATTATTATTTTTTTGCTAAACATCTGGTCAAGTGGAAACAATGGAACAAGGCTTTCTTTTATGTATGTGTATGTGTGGTTGAAAAATAAATGATTATTTTGAGCAAGATAATGAACAAATGATAAATTGTGAGATTGGCATTTAATGGATGGGAAGATGTCTTGCTGGAGTTATCTCATGTCAAGAGTGCTCCAATCCTTTCTATCAAAGAAAAAAAACTATTCCCTCTTCTTTCTATGCAAAAAACAAATTTTCCCTCTTTGCTGGTGGGTGAAATACAAATTCCTGTATCTGCAACAAATTCTTGTATCCACCTTTTCTCAATTAGGCAACTAGAATTCTCTAACACCTTTATGTAAAAAAGAAAATTAAAATCTAAGAATTACATAAAGAATAAAATGCGTTTCAGGATTTAAAAAGTAAACTCTTAACAAATATCAAACTAATATATTGAAATTTCTCTGTAGCTTTTGCTTTATTTTTTGGAGCTTTTTGTTCTGTCATTGAGCTTTTTAAGAAAGAAAAGAAAATTTTCTTTTAGTTTAAATTGATGTCTTATGTTCATTCATGTTGTCTTGGCAAAAATGTGGCATGAATGAAATATAACTACATGATTTATAGGCTAAAATGCATATGTTGTTTTTTATTTTCTGTTCTTTATTTGTTTACCTAGCATTCATGTTTGAGAAAAAATTGGTTAGCAGGAGGTATTTATCCGAATAAGATGGTGGCTCAAAATGCATCTGTTGTTTATTGGCTTTCTATTCTTTATTTATATATCCAAAATTAATGTTTGAGAAAAAGTTGAATGGCAAGAGGTATTATTAATGGTGGCTCAAACTTAGGAGTAGGGAATGTGTTCTTGACGACTTTGTTTATATTTCATGTTTTACTATTTCCTTACAATTTTGCAATAAAGTGTGGCAAAAACTACGGGTGCGTTACCTGTGATTTAACAAGATTGTCATTCTACTATTTACAAAAAATGTTATTAAATTCTAATATGATTCCTTCTTGGCAGATCTGATTGATATTTGGATAGCTGGAACTTGGAAGCTAATGGAAGCTTATGGAGTTTTGTCATGAATGCTTGATACTTTGTTTTGTCCTTTCCAATATCTTTACCAGAAGTCATTAGTTACTTCAACAGCCACTTGCTATAGTAGAGATATCAAACTTTGTGATGCTTTTTTTTTTTTTTTTGAAATTTTGACCACTAATACATAGTTTCACTATAATTGGCTGATTGAACGCGACGGAAGATAAGAAAGACGAGAGGCATTTCTAGATATGACAGTCAATATTTCTGGATGAATGTATCTTATATCTTAAATTGTAACTTTTCACAGGTAATGAGATGCATCGTACAGTTGGTGAGCTTACCTCAATTATGTGTTATTATGCTCTTCAACTTTATTAGTGTTATTTCTTTTCTTAATTGAAATGTTGACAAAATGCTTCATTATCTACCACATACAGAAAATGATAAACAAAAAAAAAAAAAAATTTATTGTTGGAAGAATAAAGCCAGTGAGGGCTCTGGTCGTATTAGCTTTTTAACTTTCCACTGGGCATGTTAAACTTGTAACTTCACACAGCACATAGTGCGGTGTTCCTCTCCTAGTAATAAATAATTTAACCAGAAAATTATCACAACCGTTGAATCTCAATTTGTCAATTTGTCATGTAGAATTGAAGATTGTGGTAGTCTCAACCTTTTCATTCTCAATCGGTCGGGTAAATCATGACGGTCTTAGCAGGTATGGCTGTAAATTGATTAGCGTCAGAGTTTAAACTTTAAAGCTCCTTAGGAACAGAAATACTGCAGATGGACGATCACAGAGATCCAATGTCCAAACGATTATTCCCAGTCTTCTTTCACAAACAAATCTATCTGTGTACCATGAAGATCCCTTGACATAGATTTCTTTGCGTGTTAATGTATCAGCAAAACCAAAGATTGCCTCGTCTCTGTGTGCCGCTGAGTCACTGATGATCAAACCAAGTAGCTGTACAATTTAAATGGGGACCAAACAACAACTCTGGCTTTATTCAATTCATTTGTGCGCCACCAAAAAGCAAAGAAAAACAGAAATTCTGCAGGAAATGGGATGGTAGGTGTTCCACATTTGAGCCACCTCAGTAACCCTCTCGAGTCTCTGCATCGCACCTGTATTTTCCTACCCTCTCCATCCTCCACGTACGTCTGCTAGTAAGGTGCTCCCTGCTTCTGCTAAATCCTAATACAACCAGCTCAAAAGATGCATTGTTGAAATGAATTCACGAGATCGAGGTGGAAAGCGCCCCATTTGATGATCGCATAAAACAAAATGCCTGCATGCTGATACATTATGTATGGCAGCATTCGCAAGGGCATCAACGTGTAGCCTTGAATCAAGAATCGATCGACACCTCATCACAAGTCCACCGATCCAATCCTCCGCATCTCACCATCTCCCTCAATTCTACCAAATTTTCTCCACTCGTCGAACATGCAGAGGTCAAGCTCTTCTATAAAATCCCCCTCATCCTCCGACTCCTACCACTCACCCCACTCTACTTCTCAAGCATTAAGGAAAAAAAAAAAGGGTGATTAGTGCAGAAAGTGAGGAGAATGGCAAAGCTCACAGTCCTTGCAGCAATTTTGCTGGTGGCCCTTTTGGCTATTGCTTCAGCCACGGCCCACCGAACTACCATAACCACCACTGTGCTGGAGGATGAGGAGGACCCAGGACAAGGAGGGCAGTCGCAGAGATGCCAGCAGAAAATCCAAGAGCAGCAGCAGCAGCTCTGGCACTGCCAGCAATACTTGTCTCAGATGAGCCCTTCTGACTTGCGCATGTACCCGCTGCCGGGGCAACAAGAGGAGCACCTCCGGCCCTGCTGCCAGACCCTTGAGAACTTCGACGAGCAGTGCGTGTGCGAGGCGGTTATGTACGTTGTGAGGCAGCAACTGCAGCAAGGTGGAGGCTGGCAAGGGGAGGAGATGCAGCAGCAGGTTATACAGAAGGCTAAAAACCTCCCTCGCAAGTGCAACCTGGAACCACAGCAGTGCCAAATCGGAGCTGTTTTCGTCTAGTAATTAACTTGTGTATGATGAACAAGGTTCACTTGGCTTCCGGCTTTTCTGGCTGGAGATTGAAGTGATGCCAATCCAATGTAGTTTAATAAAAAGCACATGATCGTGTGTTTTGCTATGTGCCTACCTACTTTGTAGTTTTCTGGCAAGGTGAGTATGACCTTGTTTCTGAAAATGCTCGTATTTTCCTTCTTCAGATTCGCAAGCAGTGGTGATTTTCCCTCTTTATTGGGCGTGAACGGGATTTGTTAACTTCTGTCATGCGCCAAGACACAAGATCACTGGAACAACTAGTACTGTTTGACCGTCATTTTAATTTTCATAAAAAGCTAATGGCATAAAAAAGCAAAATCTCAGGAAAATAATATAAGTTCTTGGTCCCCTTGCGCATCCTGCAGGGCTTTAGGACTACAGTATTGCTCAAAAGCTCAAAATTGTCATCAGCTCATCTATCGAGTGTGCTCGTGAATTCAGATTTTAGATTCTGATTTAAAAGATCAGATTTTAAGATTCCTCACTTTAAAAAATAAGTTCATTTCATGTTTTGCTTTTATGTCTAGATTTTTTTGTTCATTTTTTTTTAATTTTTAATAGAAGAAACAATTATCAGAAAGGTAGAAACATTCACGTTCTCCCTTCAAATTGCTTTAGTTTCTGAGAACTTCAAATTATTAGTTTCTAATGCAATGCAGTCAAACGATTGTATTTGGATTGTATTTTTCATGATTTTTTATGAAAAAATTACTGATTTTTTATGAAAAAATTATTTGATGTATGAAGGGGAAAAAAATAATAAAGAAATATGATCACATAAATTACGTAATTTTCTAATTTTCTGACGAAAAACTGCAATCCAAATAAGATCGTACTCGAACGATCAAAGATCACATAGCAGCATAAGTGCGATAGACATCTGGCAAAAAGAAACCTACTCCAGAGAGCCTGCCTAAGCCCCAGGTAGCACTGCTAGCCATCTCATCACCAAGTTCCCAATATCCATATTAATGCTTAATTTTTTTTTTCTTTTGTTGGAAAAAACCACCTAAGAATCACATGATTGCAATGGCAAAGTTGATCAGCCTGGCTACTTTTATAGCTGCCGTATCAACCGTAAGTGCAGAGTCTTTGCCACTCAGCATCACCGTCAACCCCCGGTATCCAAGGAGTCGGCTTTCTCCCGGAAAAGCTCAGGCGGATCATGCGAAGAGCAGCTCAAGAGGCAGCAGCTGGACCGCTTGATTGAGGGGCTGAGAGGAACTCAGCAAACATTTCTACCAACAGCATCACAGACCAGCAGCTGTCTGGAGTTTCTGGCTTTTGGTAATGAATGCCGCTGCCGAGCCATAAAGCAGGTACTAAGGCAAGAGTTGGAGGAAATGGGGGGCAGTTGGGAGGATGATCCGCCGCAGGAGATAGCTAGGAAGGCAATTAACGTTCCTGAACAATGCTCACATTCAACCCCTCCCATGCCCCATATTCCAAACAAGTCTTTTCAGAATAAGGACCAAGTGTTATGATTTATATTTTGCACGTTTGAGGTGATTCTCAGCATTGATCTGGTCAGAATGCTCTTTCGACTTTCTTGCTCGGCTCAAGTATACCTTACTGGCTCAATCCTACTCCAGTTTTCACTCGGCTGCACAATAACTCAACAAACACAAATCAGATTACCAACCTTCTGATCAGGAGTCGTGCTTCTCCTATTTCTTAAGCCCTCTTGTAATCAAGTATCATATTTAAGAATTACCTGGTTCATGAAATGAACTAGAAAAGCCTAGAGAACCCGAATTAGTCATGTCATACCATAACTGGCTTAGAACGTTCCTAAATCCAACAAATATGTGTTCCCCCCAATCAGTCACGAAAGATTAAGCATTTAGCAATGAACCCCAACGATTTACAATTTACGTAGGAATTTGCACAGAAGAACAGGAGCACTCCCGTGCCTGGTTCGACGCAATCTACCCCACCCCGCCTCTTTTTGTAATTCAACACAAAATTATCCCTGCTTGCGAAAAGCTCACATCGAGTAAAGTAACAAGTTTTATGAACAGCAAATCACAATATTTAAGGGCATATATAAAAGGACATAGTAAAAGTTCCATTCTCAACGAAAATGAAATTTATTCAAAATACAGGTAACACATCCAATTTTCCCATAACAAGCTGTTTAACAAACAAACACCGCCACCAATCCCAGAAAACACGGCCACAAACACTATTAAAAGATCCATATAAAATGGCTTTATTTGACGGTCCGACCACCCATGCACGATAACACCAAGGCAAGTTCAGTTCAACACCAAGACAGCTTCAACAGAGTACAGCATTTAGAAGCCACCGCGCAAACGGAGGACAAGGTGGAGGGTGGACTCCTTCTGGATGTTATAGTCAGCCAAGGTCCTGCCATCTTCCAATTGCTTACCAGCAAAGATCAACCTCTGCTGGTCTGGTGGGATCCCCTCCTTATCCTGAATCTTAGCCTTCACATTGTCAATTGTGTCCGAACTCTCCACCTCTAGGGTGATGGTCTTTCCGGTCAAAGTCTTCACAAAGATCTGCATTCCTCCTCTCAACCTAAGCACCAAGTGAAGGGTTGACTCCTTCTGAATGTTATAATCCGCCAGAGTGCGTCCATCCTCAAGCTGCTTACCAGCAAAGATCAACCTTTGCTGGTCTGGTGGGATTCCCTCCTTGTCCTGAATTTTTGCCTTGACATTGTCTATGGTATCAGAGCTCTCCACCTCAAGGGTGATTGTCTTCCCAGTCAATGTCTTGACGAAAATCTGCATGCCGCCCCTCAACCTCAGCACCAAGTGAAGGGTGGACTCTTTCTGAATGTTGTAATCAGCAAGAGTCCTTCCGTCCTCAAGCTGCTTGCCGGCGAAAATCAACCTCTGCTGGTCTGGGGGAATACCCTCCTTGTCTTGAATCTTAGCCTTGACATTATCAATGGTGTCAGAGCTTTCCACTTCGAGGGTGATAGTCTTCCCGGTGAGGGTCTTGACGAAAATTTGCATGCCTCCCCTAAGACGAAGCACCAGGTGGAGGGTTGATTCCTTCTGAATGTTGTAGTCGGCAAGGGTTCGTCCATCCTCAAGTTGCTTTCCAGCAAAGATGAGCCTTTGCTGGTCGGGGGGAATACCCTCCTTGTCCTGGATCTTGGCTTTGACGTTGTCAATAGTGTCGGAACTTTCAACCTCGAGGGTAATAGTCTTTCCAGTAAGGGTCTTCACGAAGATCTGCATCCCACCCCTCAAACGGAGAACCAAGTGGAGGGTGGATTCCTTTTGGATGTTGTAGTCGGCAAGGGTACGACCGTCCTCGAGTTGCTTTCCAGCGAAGATGAGCCTTTGCTGGTCTGGGGGAATGCCTTCCTTGTCCTGGATCTTGGCCTTGACATTGTCGATGGTGTCCGAACTTTCAACCTCAAGGGTGATCGTCTTTCCGGTGAGGGTCTTGACGAAGATCTGCATTCCACCCCTCAGACGGAGGACCAGGTGGAGGGTGGACTCCTTTTGGATATTGTAGTCAGCGAGGGTGCGGCCATCCTCTAGTTGCTTTCCAGCAAAGATCAACCTTTGCTGGTCCGGGGGAATTCCTTCCTTGTCCTGGATCTTGGCCTTGACATTGTCGATGGTGTCAGAACTCTCGACTTCGAGAGTGATGGTCTTGCCGGTAAGAGTTTTGACAAAGATCTGCATCTGCTCAGATGGAAGATCCGAATTCAGAAGTCAGAATCCAATTAATCGAAAAGAAGAACAATCACAATGTACAAAGCTAAAATCTTTCATGTATCTATATGCATCCACGGCAGATTAACAAAAAATCTAATTTAAAATATAATTTTTTGTGCATCAAAATATCGTAGAAAGATGAATTCCAGATCCGTAAATTCCGAAAAATTCATAAGACCCCAGACCATAGATCTGATATTTAATCAAACCAGATTTTGGTAGTATGACCTTAATAGAAAAAAATATAGCACCAGAAAGGAAATAATCCTTACTGGGCAACAAAATACCAATTTCTAATTTTAAAAACCGAATTTTCCAAACTCGCAAAACCGTCCCATCATCCAAAAATTGTCTAAATTCCGGCAATAGATATGAAATCCCTAACCAAATATTTATACCTAAGATGAATTCTTATCTTGCTATGAGGATATGATAAAGAAGAACAATAATTGGAAAAATATTTATACCTAAGATGATTTCTTACAATGAATATAAAACAAATAAGAACAAGAAGATAATCGGAAAAGGCCAATTACCCTGACAGAGAGAGAGAGTAGAAGGCTTTGACAAAGAAATTCAGAAATTGGAGCTGTGGACAGATGAATGAGCGATTGGCAACGGAGGAGATGGGATCAATTTAAAGACGTAATGACCGAATTATTACGAAATTGCCAGCCCGTGTCCGCCTATTGGGAAGGGACACGTGTCATCATGAGGTACATTGCACCAACCCTACACGGCAACGGCGAAGGAATCCTTCTCCTTGATTTATTTATAATTTATTTGCTTTCCTTTCCTTTCTTTTGCGTGGCGGAGATAATTAGGAGCGCCTCCCTTGTCCATACGTCCGCTCGCATCACGCAGACTGGCGCTGCAATTTAAAAATATAATTTTATTAATTATTTTTATATAAAATTTTTCTTGCCAAGATAAATTGTAGTATTTTAATCTTTTTAAAATTAAATAATGATTACTTTAGTAGTTATAATATTTAGAGTCAGTCATCTTGTGAACATGTGTTTAGATGAGTTATGATTTAAAATATGTATTGCTATTTTTTGAATTTTTGGTTAAAAAATGTACCGATACAATTTGATGTATGTGAGAAAAATGATGATTAAATCACTTATTCACAGAAAATATAAAAAAAAAAATTTATTACAAATTATTTACACAAAAATTATTATTTATATTACATCATAAAAAATACGGCAATAATTGTTTCAAATACGACAATAATTTTATTGCTAATGCCTATATATTTTGCAAGCTTGTTGCAGAGTTGCAGTTTGAATTGTTTTACGTCTGATTTTTCTGTTGGTAGGTCCCGTTAGAGAAGATAAAAGATTAGGTGGCTAGAACGATTGCTTAATGCATACGATAATCCATGTAAGTGCATCTTATCTTATGGGGCAAGGTTGGTGTTAACGTCAACTTGCAGATTTTTTTATTTATTTTTTGTCATTACTGTAACAGTTGTCTCTCAAGTTGACGTGACCTTAACAAATGGAGTTGCAGAATAAATAATATGTTTTTGACCGGGTCATAGGCATTAACAATTGTCTCTCCATCACTGTCTTTTTTTCCTCTTTTTTTTTTTTTTTTTTTTGTTTTTTTTTTTTGATTCGGGCTTGGCACTGCTTTATTTTAGTCAAAATTTAAAAATTTTTTTAGCTTACTTTATTTTTATTAAAGGGATTATTTGATAGGAATACTTGAAGGTCCACATTCTAACTCTCACCGGTCTAGAAATTAATATGATTAGCTTACTTTCTGTTTGTGATTTGAGATTATATATCTTTAGCCAGACGTGGTCTAATCATTTCAAGTGGCTCCGAAAAGAAAATGTATTCTTATTTGTAAATCAAAATTCGAGGCAACAGGTGTTATTAAAACTAATGCTCAATACACACTCAATGTGTGTGTAATCAAAAAATATATAATATTTATGATTATGTATTTTAAATCAAATTTTTATCACTGAAGCAAACTTTAATCTTTTAAATAATTTTCATAAAATAACTTTATACTAGTGGTTATAATATTTAGGGGTAGTTATGTTGAAAAATCTACTTAAATAGTTAAAGGTAAAAAATTGTCATAGGTAGTTATATGTAGTTAAAATAAAAATAATTTTTATGAGGATAAAAAGGAAAGTTTATGAAGTGACGATAAAAATAATTGTAGTTACAAAGTTTATGAGGATAGTAGTTATATGTAGTTAAATAAATTTTTTATTATCGAATCTAACTTTAATCTTTTAAATATTTTTCATAAAATAATTTTATATTGATAGCTATGATATTTAAGGGTAGTTATGTTGAAAACATATATTTAAATAGTTAAAAGTAAAAATAGATGAGTAGTTTTAGATAATTAAAATAAAAAATAGTTTTTATAATGATAAATTCATAAAATGACAATAAATATTAATTCTAATATTAACACCAAATCTCTTCCTCAAGCTTTATGTATAATATATATAGATACCTAGTGCTAAAGACACACTCATGTACGTGCAATTTAAGAATAAATTAAATTTTATAAAAATCTTGTTTGATAGTTATTTTGGTAGTTATGTCAATTGGCAGTTATCTTGGCTTAGTAATTGAGGATGGACCGTCAACTGGTAATCCAGGCCTCTGTCTCTTCTGATACCACCTCTAACCCAACCCAGCCCTGCTCAAACTTTTCCAAGGCCCATAACGTCAGCCTCTGTCCTCCTCCTCAAGCAAAGCCCAATATTTCTTCTAAACAAATCATCAATCTCAGGCCCAAGTGATACAATCCTGAAAACGCTTCCAGGACTCCCTCGAAACTCGCACTCGATCATCAGCTACTGGAGTGGAAACCAAAGTATTCAAAGTAAATCTCGCCGGAGAATTCAAGAGCGTGGAAGCCTTCCCCGATGCCTCCCGTTGCTCCCAGATCCGGTGACGCCATTTTCGCCAGCGTGGAACGGGTGGTACGTTTCAAAAATAAAAGGAAAAACCAACCAAGAGAGAGAGAATTTTCATTTCCTAATTATTCTCCGCACCCAGCGATATCTGCTTTCTATTGCGTGAACTCTAATAGCATTAATAGCTCGAAATATTGAAGTTTTTTATTTTGGATTTTATGGATTAATTGTTTGTTGTGTTAGAACGCGGAGCTTTTCACTCTAACCTATGGCGCGATCGTTCGTCAGCTGCTAACCGATCTGGAAGAGGTCGAGGAAGTCAACAAGCAGCTTGACCAGATGTAATTTACTTCCTCAATACTATTGTTAGCTTTCAATTTATAATAGTATTGTTGATAGTCAGTGTGTTCTAGTTTTCTGTGTTTAAAATCATTTGAGAATAGCCAATTTTGCATTTTTTTCTAAATAAAAATCATAGTTTTTGCTCAGGTATGAGACATTGATGAAGTTGTTTAAACTGGGATATTTCTTATTATGTTGCAGGGGTTATAATATTGGGATTCGGCTAATCGATGAGTTTCTTGCGAAGTCCAATGTTTCTAGATGTGTGGATTTCAAGGAAACTGCTGAAGTCATTGCCAAGGTCTCTTCATTTTGGAGTATACATTTTCTGATATATTGTTATCTTCTGCTCCAAAGGATTTGTATGCTTCGTCTCAAGTTTCAGCCCCAGTGAAGATCTCGTGTCCCTTGTTTAAATATCATTCTACTAAGTACTAACCATTGCCTTAGATCCATTACCCAATTATAATTCATCAAAAGGTAGTATTTTGGTGATGCTTGGTTCGTTTTTGTTCTTCTTGAAATTCCGCAAGTTGTATCGCAAATTTGCAGTCAGACCAGCAGGAAATGATTTGTCTGTATTAATATTTTTTCCCCTTTCATTTGGTGGCAAAATAACTACAAGTAGGGAAAAAGTTGCATGTTCTTGCAGACTTATGATGGGTTTCTCCCTTCCCTGATTCTTATTCATAGTGCTTGAGCCTAAAATTGGTGATATGTGAAACTTGTTAGTGGTAGCTGAGATGCTGATTGTCTGGTTATTTTTCATACTTATTGTATATTAAAAAAAATCTAAAGTTGAACTGAATTGGCTTCTTGTGTTTAGCGTTGTTTGTAAATAGTTGGAAGATCCTTCACTTTTTTGGTGTTCAATGTGATAAATGCTTTTCTTATGGTTCCCTGTTACACAGGTTGGTTTCAAAATGTTCCTAGGGGTCACTGCAACTGTGACTAATTGGGATGCTGAGGGTACAACCTGCAGTCTTGTTTTGGAAGATAACCCGCTGGTAGATTTTGTTGAACTTCCTGACACTTGTCAAGGCTTGTATTATTGCAACGTCCTGAGTGGAGTTATCAGGGGAGCTCTGGAGATGGTTAGCTCTTAACTCAATGGACTTTTGGGCCTTTCTGTTGACAATCTTGTCCGACTCGTGCTCTTGTTTGAATTTTCTTTATATTATCTGTTTTTATGTTTGTTTTTCTCTTTATGCTTTCTGATGAGGAATTTAAGTTTATTCATTTCCAGATGCATGGCTGAAAATGGAATGTGGTTAACCGTGTTGCTCGTTCTATCGACCAAAACCACAATTACAAATGGAAAAAAGATTTTCTTTATGGAGAACATTAATACCTTATTCTTGCATTTTCCAAGCGGAAGAACAGAGACCTCCTTCAGTTAGTAAAATGTTTACTTCTAGGTTTCTGTCCCATTTCCCAAGTAGTCGTCCGTTCTTTTCTTTTGATTCCATCCGACCCTGGTATAATTTTGTTTATCAGATCTTCTAAGTGCGAACTCCTTTTGCTCTGAGCTATTTCAGGATATGATCGCACAGACGAAATTGCACGCATGCATGCTCTGCAAGCCTAACCTTTTCTGTTTGAGCTGCATGTTAACGTGTTGTGCTTCATAAATTTGTACCATTACATTTTTTACTTTGATAAAATGGTTTGAGCTAAGCATTATTAACTACTTAACAAAGAAATAATCCTACCTACTTTTCATAAAATTAACATACTAAGTTGAATGAAATATTTATTGTGGCCTATATATGAAACTTGAGTGTGCAAACAAAATTCTGTTCCTCCTAACCACATCTTATACTTTTTCCTCCAATGATCAGGTGTCAATGAAAACTGAAGTGACATGGATCCGTGATATGCTGAGAGGGGATGATGCATTTGAAATGCAAGTGAAGCTTGTGAAGCAAGTTCCTGAGGAGTACCCCTACAAAGATGATGAGTAACATGTTGCTTGACCGCGTGATCAATGTATATACATAGAGTGCTGTTTAACATCATGGTGTTGTATTTGAGTTCATTCATCATCTTTTTTTCCTCAAGACATGCATATATGGCTTTGCTTGTTAGTCTTAAGTTTGGAAGACAACCTTAGAAGTTTTGATAGACTTGACATGGCTTAAATCTTTTAGGCTGTATGCCAGTTGAGAATGCTGATGCAAGTGAGACAATTCACGCTCTTGTTGCGTTTGAACTTTTTTGCCTGAATAGTTTGGTTGTTAGTTGCTCAGACAGGGGACCTGATATGATGTGGTTGCTAATAAGTTGCTATGGCGTAGCTCATAGTTAAATATCTATTTTAAAATTTCTACTCCAAGCTTCTCGTCCTGTCGGGAGGCAGAACCAAAGAAGTCATGGTAATCATGCAAGGGCAGTTCACAGCATACTGGGACGTTTAACCATCTTAAGCTGCTAGTGGGTTATCTGCTGATGTTTTAGGAGATTTAAGTCAAATTACAAATATGCCTCAAAGTAATTGAGCTATTCATTGTTTAGCTTTTATAGCAGGTCCAATTTCTAACGTGACATGA